CCTGGTGCAGGACCGGCAGAGCTCGCGAGAGACAGTGGCGTCCTACGAGACGTTTGCGCCGAAGCAGCCGCTGGCAGCAGCAGGGCTTTCTGCTGCTGTTGCTGCTGCTGCAGCGGGAGGCAGGTGGGGCCCCCCGCTGCAGCAGGAGGGGGGCCCCCAGCGAGACCCAGCGGACTGCGCTGCCAGCAGAAGCAGCGGGGACTCCCCACCGCCGCCTCCCGATCCCAGGGACTTGAGGGTTTTGAGAAGCCAAGGTGTGGGGTTTATGTATACCCCAGGCAGCACTTTGCTGGTGCCCCCGCCGAAGGAGCTGCAGCAGCAGCAGCAGCAGCTGCTGCTGCAGCTGCCGCCGGACGCCGCCGCCCCAGCAGCAGCGGCAGCAGCAGCAGCAGCAGCAGCAGCAGCAGCAGCAGCCGTACAGCGCGGCGGAGTGCTACCGCCTGGTGCAGGAGCGGCAGAGCTCGCGAGAGACAGTGGCGTCTTACGAGACGTTTGCGCCGAAGCAGCCGCTGGCAGCAGCAGGGCTTTCTGCTGCTGTTGCTGCTGCTGCAGCGGGAGGCAGGTGGGGCCCCCCGCTGCAGCAGGAGGGGGGCCCCCAGCGAGACCCAGCGGACTGCGCTGCCAGCAGAAGCAGCGGGGACTCCCCACCGCCGCCTCCCGATCCCAGGGACTTGAGGGTTTTGAGAAGCCAAGGTGTGGGGTTTATGTATACCCCAGGCAGCACTTTGCTGGTGCCCCCGCCGAAGGAGCTGCAGCAGCAGCAGCAGCAGCTGCTGCTGCAGCTGCCGCCGGACGCCGCCGCCCCAGCAGCAGCGGCAGCAGCGGCGGCAGCAGCGCGGGGTAGGGCCGCCGGCGGGGCGCCGCCGCAGCAGGGCAGCCCCGCGCTTGCTGCTGCTGCTGCTGCTAGGGAAGCTTACGTTGCAGCAGCAGCAAAACACATTAGTGATAAAGCTAGTGCAGAAGCAGCTTTGGGAGCAGCAAGTAATGCAGCCTATCAGGCCCACCTGCGGAAGATGCAGGATGTGGCGCCGCAGGCGAGCGAGCTCGCGCGTCTGGTGATGCAGCAGCAAGTGGCTGCGCAGCAGCAGCAGCAGCAGGGGGGCCTCCCGGGGCCCCCGGGGGCCCCCGGGAGCCCCCCAAGTGCCCGCAAACACAGCAAGCGAGGTCTTAAACAAAAGAAAATACCCATTTACGATGCATCCTCGCCCCCCATTTACGAGGCCACGCCAGACTGACTGCTGCGGCTGTGGGGCCCGGGCCCTGGGGGCCTCCGCAATAGATTTTAAACCCCACAGATAACTAATTTTGGCTGCACAGCGAGCACTTAGAGCAGCAGCTGCGGCACCAGCTGCTGCTGCTGCTGGGGTGCTGGGGGCGCGGGGGGCCTCGCTGCAGCGCAGCGAGGCAGCTGCGGCGAAGCTTTTAGCTGCTGCTGCAGGGGCAAACTAGTCAAGCAGAGAGAGTGGTCCACTGATCGCTTTTTGCTGCTGTTTGCTTCTCCGGTGCGCTGCTAGAAGGCCGCAGCAGCAGCCGCGCGCTAGCGGCCTTTAGAGGCAAAGCTGCAGCTGGTTTCTAAGACTATTTTGTAAAGAGTGGCGCTAATTTGCTGCTGGCGCTTGGGGTGTACGTACACTCGGCGCAGCGCCGCGCGCCCGGTGGCCGCAGGGCTGGCAGGCAGCAGTCTCGGCCCCGGAGAGCGCGTTAAAGAGGCTACTTGGCAATTAAAAGACTTTTAAATGTCTGCATGCAGTTTTCTAGCTGAAAACGAACTAAATTAGCCCCCAATTGCCCCTAGCCAGCCGCAGTCCGTCGGCCTGGCGATCCTGCACAAGTCGAGCTGCCCAGGCGAGTGCCTCGGGCCCCCAGCCGCCGTTCAACTGGGTATTTTCCCGCAAATATCTGGAAAAACGTCTTAATTTTCCGTATTTTATCCTTTTATTTCCTAAAATTCTTTTCTCGTGGCCTCCCTTCCTCCCTGCCCGCGCCTCGTCCGCCTCGGCGCCGCCGGGGCCGCCGCGAGCTGCAGCTGCGCGGTGCTTTCCCCGATCTTTTCGAAACAGAAGCTGTTAAGTTTTGTTTCTTCAAAGTAATCCCTTAGGAGCCTCCAGGAGTGGCGTGGGGTCTTGTGCGGCGAATGCGGCGAAATGGTGAGCCTCTGGCTGTCCCACGGTCTCGACAGCCGCCGCCAGACCACTGGTGACCACTGGTCACCCCCGGTGACCACTCGTGAGCACTCGTGACCACTGGTCACGCAGCAGCACAGGCCCAGGCCCCACGGGCTCGCTGCATGCATGCGGGCTGCTGTGTGTGCAGCGGGCGAGGCAAGACGACGCGCTCTGCAGCGCCTTCTACAGGAGGGCTCGCGCGGCCAAAACTGCTGAAGAGGCCCCCAAGTGCGAGGCCCCTGGCATGCTGCTCCTGGCTGCGTGCGGCAGCCGCTGCTGCTGCTGCGCTGCTGCTGCTGCTGCTGCGCCGCTGCTTCGGGACACACCCCTTATTGCTGCTGCTGCGCCTCTTCTCTGTCGCTGCCTGCAGCGCCGCGCTTCCCCCCCTGCGCGGCTACGTAGGGTACAACAGCCGCTCTCGGCCTCAGGCCCGTAACCCTTCTTCAGTGAGCTGCTGCTGCCGCTGCTGCTGCTGCCGCTGCTGCTGCTGCTGCTGCTTCTGCCGCTGCTGCTGCTGCCGCTGTCGCTGCTGCTGCCGCTGCTGCTGCCGCTGCTACTGCTGCTGCTGCCGCTGCTGCTGCTGCTGCTGTTAGGCGCAGTAGTTTGCGTGCTGCTTTCTTTGCTTCTCGCTGTGCGGCCTGTGCAGGGCGAGGCCCAAGACTGGGAATATCTTTACAAGACAGTAAACGCAGAAAGAAACAGACTTGAATATGAAAACAAGGCGTGAGTCCCAATTCCCAACACTGGCTTCCCCAGCAGGGGGCGCTGCCGCCGCAGCAGCAGTAGCAGCTGTGCTGCTGCTGCTGATGCTGCTGCGGCGGCAGCAGCAGCTGCAGCTGCTGCAGCAGACCTGCTGCAGCAGCAGCGCAGCAGCTGCAGCCGCTGCGCAGGGTTCTTGTAGGCACAAGGGCTGCGGACAGCAGGCTACTGCGGCAACTGTTTGCTGCCTGTAGGCCCTTTGGGCTGCTGCTGTGCAGCTGTGGCTGTCTCAAGAAGTGTCTGAGGCATTGTGCTGCTGCTGCTGTTGCTGCAGCATTGGAGCCAGCCTGGAAGCTCTTTTCCAGAAGAACTATGCGGCTGAAGTGCAGCTGCGGAACTTGCGGGTAAGCAGCTGCTTTGCTGCAGCAGCAGGCCGTGGGGCCCCGGGCCACGAGTCCGCAGCAGCGGGGCCCTCTTGCTGCACCTTGAGGCTGCTGCGCAGCAGACGAGCTGCTGCGCTGCAGCAGCAGCTGCGTTACCCGCGGGTCCCCCTCGGGGCCCCCAGCAGCAAGGGAGAAGCAGTTGCTCGTCGTGGCGCCCAGCTGCCTGCTCTCTCCGCCGCTCGCTGCAGCCCACCCGCGTGTCTGCTGCTGCTGCCGCTGCTGCTGCTGCTGCTGCTGCAGGCTTACGCTACGCGCTGCGCGGGGCTCTACGCGCCCAACGCCTCCGACGCAAAAGAACTGGTGACCCTCGTGGCCAACATTTTGGGGCTTTTGGGCAGCAGCACAGCAGAGCCCATCATCTCCCGCGTTCCCGAAATCCTCGCCATGGTTGCGGCCTGCCCAGTGGTCAGCCCCACGTGCATGCACGCACGCATGCACGTGTGCATGCATGCGTGCATCCATGCTTGCATGCATGCATATGTTGGACGGTGCATGCATGCATGCATGCATGCACAGTGCATGCATGCATGCATGTGCAGAACAGGAGCCTCGTTGCAGCTTACGGTTATTTGCGCTGGCGATGGGGCTGGCTTTGTTCACAGCGCTTCCCCCTTAATGGTATTTCTAAGATTCACCAGTCGTTAGGAGGAGCGAAATTCGCCTTGTGTCTGTGCTGCTGCTGCTTCTGGGATTTTGCTGCAGCACGACCGGCGGCTTTACGCAGCCACGGAGCAGCTAAAACGCAAAGCTGGGGACTGTGGCTTGGCCGCTGCAGCGGGCGCGGTGAGTTTTCTGTCTTTGCCATATTTTGCAGCACTTTTCTTCTGCGCTGCTGCTGCCGACCAGAGCTAGCTAGAAGCTATCTAGCAGCTAGCTGGCAGCTAGCTAGCAGCTGACTAGCAGCTAGCTGACAGCTAGCCAGCAGCTAGTCACCAACTAGCTAGCAGCCAGCTAACAGCTAACTAACAGCTAGTTAACGGCTATGTAACAGATAGCCAGTAGCTAGCTAACGGCTGGCTAGCAGCTAGCTAGCAGCTAGCTAACAGCTAGCTAGCAATTAGCTGGCGGTCGGTCGGCGCAGGGAGCACAGAACTAGTTGGCAGCAGCAGCTTGCTGCTCACATCACGAAGTTCACTAAATAAAACAAAATATAAATAAATAAAACGAACAAAAGTGGGAAGACAAAGATAAATAGCCACTTTGGCAGTGGCAGCAACACGCCAAATTAGTTTTATTAAATTCTTTGCTGCTGCCACTCGAAGCAGCTTTTAAAGCTTTTGCTGTGTCTTCAGAAAAAGCCGCAGACTTCTGAGATTGGCTCCGATGGAGGTGCGTTTGGCCCCACGGCACTGGGGGCGGCGAGCAGGGCTCAGCAGCAGCTGCTGCAGCAGCTGCCGCAGCAGCTGCTGCAGCAGCTGTCGTTGCCGCTGTTGCAGCAGCTGTCGTTGCCGCTGTTGCTGCAGCTGTTGTAGCAGCTGTTTCTGTAGCCGTTCGAGCATCTGCCGCTGCAGACGTTGCTGCGACTGTTGCTGCAGCAGCTGTCCCTGCCGCTGTTGCTGCAGCTGTGGCTGCAGCGGTTGAAGCAGCTGTTGCAGCAGCTGTTGCCGCAGCTGCTGCCGCAGCTGTTGTTGCTGCTGCTGCTGCTGCTGCTGCTGCCGGTGTTGTTGCCGCTGTTGTTGCCGCCGTTGCTGCAGCTGTTGAGGGTGGGCGTTGACCGCGTGTTGGTCCCTGCTGCACTCCGCAGTGACTGCCGTGTCGCTGCTGCTGAATGCCTTTGCTGCTGCTGCTGCTGCTGCTGCTGCTGCTCAGCCAGCCTGGACCTGCGGTGGCTGGCGGCGGCGACAAAGGACGACGCGTGGCTGCAGATGAGCGACAGGTACCCGCTGGTGCATGCAGCGGGAGTTTGTTGAGTTTATTTGCTGCTGCATTTTGGCTGTGGGGCCGCAGGTGCTGCTTCATCCTGCAGCAGCAGCATGCATGCAGCCCCAAGATTCTGCTGCTGCTTCGCACAGGTGGGAGTTTTGCCCCCTTGACCTCCGCTGGCTGGCCGTGGCCACCAACGACAGGTCTTGGCTGCTGAACAGATTTGTGTGGAAAAGAAGTCCCCGGGACTTGAAGTGGATGGCGGCAGCCACTTACAACAGAGAGTGGCTGCTCCTGGGGGGTGAGCTCTGCTGCTGCTGCTGCTGCTGCTGCGGCGGCGGCTTCTGCGGCTGCTGCTGCGTTGCGCAACCGCAACAGCTCCTCCACCTTGCGCCAGCCGCTGCTGTTTGCCGCAGCGCACACCCTAAACCCTAAACGCTGAATCCCAAACGCTAAACCCTAAACCCTAAACCCTAGCGAGTTTGCTGCTGCATGCAGCCTCCGACCGGTGGCAAGCGACTCCCCCCGCAATAAAGCTGCGAGCCATTGAGGCACAAGACCCCAGCATTGTGCGGCCCTCCATTTCGGAGGCCGCCCAGTACACTTTAGAAACCCGACTCCGCGCGGACATTGAACAGGAAGGTGCGCAGCTGCTGCTGCTGCTGCAGCTGCTGCTGCTGCTGCTGTTGCCGGTGCTGCTGGTGCTGCTGCTTGTGTTGCTGGTGCTGTTGCTGCTGCTGCTGCTGGTGTTGCTGCTGCTGCTGGTGTTGCTGTTGGTGTTGCTGCTTCTGTTGCTGTTGCTGCTGTTGCTGCTGCTGCTGCTGCTGTTGATGCTGCTGCAGATCTAGCGTCAATCGCTGCGGCTGCCCGTGACCAAGTTCGCTGTTTGTGGTGCTCACTGGGGCAAAAAGGCTGCCGTGTATCAGTCGTTTTTGGGGGCAATTCTAAGCCCGTTCTTTGGCCCGGGAATGAGCTGCTGCTGCTGCTGCTGCTGCTGCGCTGCAGTGGCCGCACGAGAAGCGTACATGCAAAGAGAAAAGGACGGGGAGCGGAGGGGCCCCCTGAGCGCCCAGGGCTCAGCACTTTCTGCAGCAGACTTGACAGCAGAGCCCGAAAGCAGAAAGCCCTTCTCCAGCCTTCCTGTGGCGGGGGCCCCCAAGCAGGGCCCCGGGGAGAAGGCCGGGGGGGCCGCCGGATTCCCCAAAGAGGGTACGTTGAAGGCCTCGAAGCCCCCCAGCCCCAACAGTGCCCCTCCCCCTTCTGAGCCGTTTAAGCCCAAGTTCGGCACTGTGCCCATAAAGAGGCCCCCGGAGCAGGACTCTCCAGCAGCAGCAGCACCACCAGCAGCAGGAGCCAAGGCTGCAGCAAAAGGCCCCGAGGCCGCCAAATCAGGGCCCCCGGGAGCCGCCGGCAAGGGCCCCCTGGGGGCCAAGGGGGGGCCCCCAGGGGATGCAGCCAAGGGCCCTGGGGGGCCCCCAGGAGTCAAAACTGTCCCATCTCCAGCAGCAAAAAAAGATGCAGCTGCTGCAGCGCCGCCAGGGGCCAAGCCGGCCAGTACCCTGCCAGCCAAGACGGGGGGCCCCTCGCCGGCCAAAGCCGAGGGGCCCCCCACGGCCCAGACCAAGGGGGCCCCCAGCGCCAAAGGCGAGGGGCCCCTGGCAGCAAAGGGGAAAGAACCTTTAGCTTCAAAGGCCGAGGGGCCCCCAGCAGGCAAAGGGGGCTTGCCCCCAGCAGCAGCTAAGGGGAAGGGGACCCCTGGGGCCAAGGCGGAGGGGCCCCCAACATCTAAACCCGATGGCCCACCAGCCCCCAAAACCCTCACGGCCCCAGGGGCCAAGACCACCCCTGTGGGCGGAAAGACCAGTGGACCTCCTGGTCCTCCGGGTGCGAAGGGAGATGGATTACCGGGGCCTCCAGCGGCCAAAGGCGAGGGGCCCCCCTCGGCTGCGAAAGGGGGGCCCCCAGCCCCACCGGGAGCCAAACCGGGGGCCCCCCAAGCGGGCAAACCTGCGGGGCTGCCTGCAGCAACCCGGACTGTTCCTGCAGTTACTTCTAAATCTCTGTCTGCTCCTCCGGGTAAGTCTCCTGGCGCGCCTGCCGGCAAAGCTGAAGGAGAAGGGGGGCCCTCACCGGGGAGCCCCCCATCGAAGCCTCCAGCAAAGGCTCCAACGGGGTCCCCCTCGGGGTCCCCTACCGCACCCGCCTCCACAGGTTCCCCGAAACCCTCGTCGGGGCCCCCGTCAAAGCCCCCCTCGAAGGCCCCCACGGGGCCCCCCACGGGGCCCCCCACGGGGGCCCCCACGGGTCCCCCGTCGTCGAAGCCCCCCTCGGGTGCCCCTACGGGGCCCCCATCAAAGGCCCCAGCAGGAACCCCATCGAAGCCTCCAGGGGGGCCCCCGTCGGGGCCCCCGTCAGGGCCCCCTGGAGCGAAGAAGGGCCCCCCTCTCTCAAAAGGGGCTGAGTCCTCTCCTGCAGCAAAGAGCAGCGAAGACGGCGAAGCAGCTAAAAAGGCTCCGGGGCCTCCGGGGAAAGACACGGGGGAGCTGAAGTCCAAGGGCCCACGTAAGGCTAGGCTTTTTCTTTTGTTTGCTGAATTCAGCTCAACTCAGCTCCTCTTTTTCTGCTGCTTGCCTTCTCTGGCGCTGCAGCAGAGAGGCTGCTGCTGCTGCACTAGTGAGTGGCGAGCAAGGCAGTTTGTGTGGCAGTTCATGTGCAATTTTCAGCTCTTTCGAAGGCCTCTCTCCCAGGCGCTCCCACCCCCCCCGGAGGGGGCCCCCCAAAAGCCCCCCAAAAGACTGCAAGTCCTCCCCCTGCGAAGTCTGAGACGGAAAAGGCAGGGGCACCGCCAGCGCCGCCTGGCGCCAAAGACAAGGCCCCTGGGGGCCCCCCAAAGGGGCCCCCAGGAGGGCCCCCAGGGGGACCCCCAGGAGGGCCTCCTAAGGGGCCACCAGGGGGCCCCCCAGGGGGGCCCCCAGGAGGGCCTCCTAAGGGACCATCGGGGGGTTCCCCAGGGGGGCTCCCAGGAGGGCCTCCTAAGGGGCCACCAGGGGGGCCCCCAGGGCCCCCTAAGGGTGCTGGAGGGCCTCCTTCACCTCCAAGCAAGTCCCCAGGGCCTCCCAGTGATAAAGCAGGGCCCCCACCAGGCAAGCCGAAAGGGCCCCCTGGGCCCCCCCCTAAAGCCTCGACAGCCCCAGCAGCTTCTAAAGGGCCTGAGGGGCCCGCCACCCCACAGGAAAAGGCACCAGTGGCCCCCCCGAAAGAGAAAGGAGCTCTTCCCCCGGGGAAGCCAGCTGCCCCTCCTTCTGCAGCAAAACTTCCTCCTGCCCCCGCAGGCAAGGGGCCCCCGGAGGCCTCCCCTCCCCCGGGGAAGGGGGCCCTCCCCCCAAAAGGGGGCCTTCCGAAGGCCCCACCAAAGGCTGCAGCAGATGCAGCAAAGGCTGCAGCAGATGCACCAAAGGCCGCAGCTGATGAAACTTCCAGCCCCCCAGAAGGAAAGGCCGCCAAAGCAGCTACAGGGAAAGGACCGCCAGCGCCACCCCCCTCGGGGCCCCCCAAGAAACTCCCAGCTCCAGGGGTAAGTTATAGCAGCAGAATGGCTGGCGAGACTGCAGCAGCTTTTGCTGCTGCAGTGTCACCGGCCATTCTGCTGCTGCAGTGCTGCTGCGACCTCTCCTGCTTCATTGATTTCCAATTATTTTTCTACCACTTGTTTGTTTTACTTGCCCGCAACTTGCGGCCTGCCAGCTTTTCAAAAGCAGTAGCGCAGCTTTGCATGCACAGCTGCTGCTGCTGCTGCTGCTGCTGCTGCAGAGTTTGGCAGAGTTTGTCTATGTTGCTCGTGCTTCTGCTGCTGTGCTCCACAGGGAAAACTTCCAGGCGGTCCTCCGAAGTTGCCGCCTGGCCCCCCAAAACCAAAGAGCTAATAAAGCCTCTTCATTTCAGCGAATAAAGCCTCTTTATTTCATAGAACTGTTTAGAGCCTTTGAAGTTTCATTTGCAGCTCCCATGAAGGCATTCTTTGAAGCCCATTTGCCTTGCCCCCCACTCCGAGTTGTCACAGCTAGTACAGAATATAAACAGCCGACTGGCTGGTCTACGTGGGGCATTTCTAAGGGGCTAGTCCTAGCCCGTTTTATTCAACTCCTTTTATTTCACAAGTTTTGGTTGTCCCAAGTGGGCGCACATATGAGCCATTGTTGTTCTCCCAAATGGCTGTCTTTGTTAGTAGCACAGAAAAGGCCGCCTCAGATGAAATGCAAGATTAATTTTGTCGTAGTTGGCAGGAAGTTTTCCGAAGTTTCGCCTTTGCTTGGCAGCCGCAGAGGCCGCGTTGTTGCACTTAAGCGCAAAGCGCAGGGAGGCTTGAGCTGCTGATCTGCTGTTTCTTTATTTTCTTTTCTGCGGCATTTCATTGCGGTCTAATATAGCCAACCAGCCACCTTGAATAGCAACGGAGCCCGGGGGACCGTGTGGCCCCCGAAAATTAGCTGAAGTTGTGCGCTGAGGCTTAAACTTAGCCGAGGCTTTAACTTAGAGGTTAATTATAAAGCTCATCACTCTGCAAGAACTTCATTTGCCGTTACTTGTATGCCCTAAATGCTCTGAAAATGCCAATTGGTGTTGCCTTATCTAAAACTCAATTGCCTTCTTTCGCGTGTCATTTACGAGAGACTGGCGTTCTATTCTTGTTCTGATTGTCCACTCCAGGTATCCGCTGCCACTTGAGTTGAAATGCTCTACCTTTACATGCTCTACACTGGAGTCTTTGTGGGGGGATCTGCTTTCTTGTCGTTTCATCGAAATCCTTCTGCAGTTCACGGGCATCCAAGGCAGCTCACCGGGGCCCACAGCAACAATTCACTGCTGCTCACTGCGAGTGCAAGCAGCAATACTTAGAGGGTACCGCATTTCTTACAATTCGTGCCCAAGTGGCTATTTCTGTGCAATATGGCAACCAGGGTCTCTACCGTGGCCGACAAGACCCTATTCTCTGAGGAACTTTAGAGAATGGGCATCTTAGTGTTGTAAATAAGCTTAAAAGCAGTCCAGGAATGGGGTAAGGCGCGCTACTCTTCTAAAAGTTCTAGTGCTTCGGCTGCAGCTCCAGCTGCATGCACTTCGGGGCTTCCAGGAAGCCATTTCGCGTTGAAGGATTCTGTCTGCGGCTAGGTGTACAACCTCGTAAAATTCGTTTCAAATAATTGAGGTCATTTTTTGACACATTTTGCCGTTTACTGATACTAAATTTCAACGAGCCCCAGCAGGTGCAGAACAGCGGCGCGCCGCTTCTCATCACATTGAGTCAAGAGGCGATCCTTCCATGTTTTGTCACCCTTGCTTTATTGCTTGTACTGTTGTTATTCACTTTAAGCCTCATTTCTCCTCCTTCCCCCCGGCGCTAGCAAGCTGGCCCAAGACAGGCCACACGGAGCGGGCCATTCTTCCATTCGGTGCCTCCCGGTTTGCATTTTGCACACTTCCGTTCAGTTTAGCCTCGTTGACTCGACTATAGCCCAGTTGCATTATTTGATGCATGGGCACATGCGTGGGCGCATGCATGGGGTCTTTCAAGTCTCACCAGGGCTTCTCGGATCTTGCATTTTCACCTTCAGCTCCCCAGCGCGCGTTCGTGGTTCCTACGCCTTCCTCTCCGCCTTTTCCGTCCCGTCGCTCCGCGGACTTTTTGGTGTTTTCCGAGTGCCTCAATTAGACTTTTTGAAAGGTTCCGCTTCTGCTGGCAGTGCAGCAGTTTGTGCGGCTTCTCCCGCGTTTTCGCAAAGATGCCGAACTCAGGCAGTGCCGAGGGTGGCGAGGCCGCCCCGCCGCTGAGAGGTCCGCTCTCGCATGTCGGTGCGTAGCAGCCGTGCCGCAGTTCTTGTAGAGTCCCGAATGTTGTGTGTGGCTGATGCTGCGGGAGTGTTGTGCGTGGGATCGCCTCTGTGGGTTTCGCAGAAACTCGCCTATCGAAGCGGAAGTCCACAGATGGAGCTGTGGCTGCAGAGGCGGCCTCAGTTGTAGCTGAGGCCGCGGCCAAGAGAGGCAGAAGGCCTGCGGCTGGCGGCAAGAGCCCCTCCTTGGGCACCAGTGCAGTTCCCCATATGCCAGAGGCCCCCTGCAACGGCCACGTGCACCACCCTAGCCGCGCGGCGCATCTTCCTGTGCACAGGGAGTCAGATGCGGAAACTAAAGAAGCAATTATTAGGTCAGAAATACCCAAGTCAGTAGTCAAGGTAGGAACCAACCGTCCACACCCTTGGATCTTTTTGCATGCAGCAGCCTCCTCAACAATCCATTTCCATGGTCTGCATTCTACTATGCATTCAATTCTGAGGTCTGAGTGCACATTTAGGAGATTTCACTCCTTCTACTTCGTATTTTGTGTCGGTATTTCGTGCTGTGTTTCCGTTTTTCTTGTTCTTACCCACCCACGCCGCTGATCCATTGCGAAACTTTGCGTTCATGGAGATTTGAAACAAGTTCTGAATGTTATTTCCCTTTTTCTTGGTGTTACTTATCCCTTTTTGATTTTATTTTTCTCTTTTTGTTTCGCGAAGGTGTTCTGCACCCACTGTGAGCCCAACTACAGCCAGCCGTGGACAACTCGCCGACAAACAAGTTCAACGAGCACTGGATTCGTGACTGTGGACGCGGGGGGCTCTCACTGCATACTCACGAACGCACACTCTGTGGACAATGCTGCTGTGGTTCAGGTGACAGTTCTGTTTCCTTGTTATTTATTTTATACTTTTAAACAACTATGTTTGATGTGTATCCCATTTTGCTCGCCGAACTCGTGCAGTTTGTCATCCTTGCTCTTTTCCCTAAGTTGAGGCAGATGAAGGGCTCTTGCGATGGAGCAGCAATACTCTTTTTTGCTGCACCCATGTGGAAATATGTGTTACAGCTTTTCTCATGGGTGCTACAAAAAGTGTTGCTGTGGTGCTGCTGTGATATATGCACATCTCACTATGGTGGAAATAAGTGAATTTAATGCCGCTCTTGCCTGTGGTGCAAATTTTGGCGCGAGTCCTGCAAACTTTCTCGGGCAGTAAAGCTCTGTGCCTGTCTACGTAGCGTGGTGGCGGCGATTTCACGTTCTGCGTTTCCCCTTTTTTGGCTAGCTGGCTGGCTAGCTAGCTGGCTAGCCGTAAGCGTATGTGTTCTTGTGACAGGTGAGAAGACGCGGTGACCACCAAAAGCACGAGGCCAGGGTCATTTGCATCGGCTTGGACTGCGACCTCGCGATGCTGCAAGTGGACGACCCGGACTTCTGGGATGGTAGGGCTCTTGTGGTTTTGAATGATATTTCTTGAAAACGATAAACAATTTATCTTTTGCTGCAAGCGTTTTCGTGACAGAGGCCATAGTTACTGCCTAAGCATACTTTGGCTGAATTTTCTACTGCCCTTTGGAAGGAGCTTTTTTGCCGTCGCAGCAAACTAACGACACCTCAGCTTTAGTGAGAGGTGGCTAAAATGAACTATGCTCAACAATTGCATGGCTTATGATAGTGTAGAGCGCGTGAGGATACCACGAGAGCCTTTTTGAATTCAACAGTTCTTGTATTTAGGTCTCTTTGGGGTGAAAGATTTCACAGCTCGCTCGCATGTTGTGGCTTCACGTAGTAGAAGTTGCGACCAAGAACTTTGCATTGAAGCTAACTTCATTTGGCTGTGTTGATCTTTTTTGTCTCTCACGGATCTAAGCTCTAAGGTAACCACCGTTTATTCATTTCGTCTGCGGATCTACAGGCATAGGGCCCCCACTGGAGTGGGGCCCCTCTCCCTCCCTTGAAGACCCCGTCACGGTAGCTGGTTATCCTTTAGGTGGAGACAATTCTTCAGTCACGCAGGCAAGTCTACTTTGGGATAATAAAGCGTTGACTGGCAGTAGGTTGTACCATTTTGATAAATCAAAACGAAAACAAAAAAAGGCGAGCTGGCTATCCCTTGCTCGTACATAGCCGGCCCTTCCAATGCGTATGGCTATTCTTCTATTTTCAGGGCGTCGTCTCGCGCACAGACTTGCAACAGTATTCCATGGGTTCTTGCTGGCTTTTGGCCATACAAATTGACGCGGCAATCAACCCGGGAAATAGCGGCGGACCAGCTCTGAACAAGGAGAAACAGTGCGTCGGCATTGCTTTCCAGAGTCTCAAAGATGGAGACACTGAGAACATAGGCTACATCATTCCTTCAGAGGTAAGACAGCACAAAGAAAGCCATGAAATTTTGAGAAAACGGGAAGGCAGCTGTTGGGCGCAGTGCCTGCCCAAGGGCACTCCAGGAGGAACTGCAGCAGCAGCGCCTGAGCTGTTGCTGGAGGGCTACATGCCTATAAGTTGCCTACTGCTGTTTTCGATCTTGCATTTGGCTTTTATGAATTTGGAGTTGCTATCTTGTGTGTGGGCAGGTGGTGGTGCACTTTCTGGAAGACTTTCAGCGCCACAAGAAATACACGGGGTTCGGGGATTGCGGATTTACTTGGCAGAAACTGGAAAATCGGTTCATGAGAAGCGCCCTTAGCTTGAAGTCAAAACAACAGGGAGTGCTTGTCAAAAAGGTTTGTTTGCACCCATTCAACGACTCAGTCGCCACAGATGATGTTGCACTTTGAAACAAAGTTGCGTTGCCTCTCATGATTGCACTTGACACTGGCGCACCCATAAACCCGTTTCCTAGCATTCGCGATGGCAGGGTATGTGAATAGAGTTCACGTTGTATGCGCACACGCAAAACATGCATACAAGTTGGTCTGCATGCATGCACTTGAACACTTTGACAGTCCATTACGTTTGGCTATGAAGCTGTGGGTATAATCGACTCGGGCTTTTTTGTAAGGCGATACAGGAAGTTTGAACGAGGCAACAAAAGGCCTTTTCATGATTAAGCTTGTTTCTGGCTTATTTTTAATTTGTGCAGGT